AATATCAGAACTTGAATTAGCATATGAATTGTTTATATGGCATACTGGCAATTCAACTGAACTCATTGTACTGCAACATTCTCGAATGCAATATTGGTTAACTGGAGTTCTAATATGCTAGGATATGCTAGGACTTTATTCGAGATTGTTTGTACGCAAACTAGCAAACTCAGGGTATTTTGGAGTTTTTCGTCTATAGCTTTCTAACACGAACTGTTAATGCGTCAGGATGGCGAATTCCTGAGTTTGGTGCTTATGCAAACATGTTCTCAGTTACTGTTCCCTTAAGATATGACCTCTACCTATGGGTATTATCTACTCTTGTGTGTATTTAAAAATGTCTACAAGCTCTTGATTTGCAACTTCCCACTAAACTTCAGGAATGGCCTAATTGTTGGTGGGAACGTGTTCCAATACAATATGAGATAACTGTTCTTTAGTTGTGTCTTCGAGTCTCAAAACATTCTTCTGAACATCTTATGATTGGCTTTCACAGCCAGATATTGTGGATTTCTTGTAGGAGGAGGAGACAAAGCAGATATATCACATAATGGAATGGTTTCTACCTCATCAACTCAGAGAGCATTTCGTCACACGATATACTGTTGATTATTATTTTCCTTGAAGATATTGTACGAAAGGAAAATATCATGCAATGAAAATTCTGTATTTTTTATTTGATTTTATTTAAACGCATAAAAAACTTGGTACAATATGGCACCAAGAAGGATGCGCCACACAATAATTATAAAACAACATAGGTCATAAAGAAAAAAAGGAAGGAAGGAAGGAAAAGAAAAGAAATATACATATGAGTAGAGAACGGATAAAGAACTTCATCTGGAAGGAAGACATTCATGCCTAACAAGTTAAAAACAGTGTTCGTTAACTATCATCGGGAAGGGAAGAAAGAAGGAAATTGCAACACATTCGCCATTGATTACGATTCTTGGCCATATCCGATAACGTTTCGAGCCATCGATTTGAGCTATCTCTCGGACCCCAACCAGGGAGTCGTGACATACCAACAGATGCTAATCTAGCACAAAAATCCTTCATCCCACGACGCCACGTCATGGACTGACCACCTCTCCGCCTTTTCCATCCCGTCCCAGGGCTAGCGAACAGAGACCTGTACGGAAGCCTCTGGGGTGACATTCGGAGCACATGTCCAAGCCACCGGAGCCGGTGTTTCCAGATGACGACATTCAATGAATGGTGATCTCCACTTTGTTCAAACACATGCCGCCGAACCTCAGAATTACTCAGGTGATGATGCCATCGAACGCAAGCAATCCTGCGGAGACAGCGGTGATCGAACACACAGAGTCGCCGCACATCCTCAGCTCGGAGAGGCCAGGTTTTACAGGCGTAGAGCATTGCAGCCCGCACCGAAGCATTGTATACCCAATCTTTGACAGCCAGGCTAACGGCGCCAGAGGTGGCTCAAGTTGATGTATGCCACCCTAGCCTTTATTATACGCCATCACTAACACAACTACCCAGGTATACAAACTTATCAACAACTTCAAGTGGTTCACCTGCAAGAGTGAGTGCAGGTACAGGCTCCTGCCAATCTTGTAATAGTACTTTGCACTTAGACGGCGCAAAGCACATACCATACTTACAGACACTGATCGCCAACTGATTAAGTGCGATTTGGGCAGTCTGCATGCTATCGCACAGTAAGACGACATCGTCTGCATACTCGAGGTCGAAAAGTCTATCTCCAGGTGGCAGATCTACACCACCTTCACGCACATCCTTCAGAGCTGACTCCAGAATGTCATCGATGTCAAAGTTAAAGAGAAATGGAGAGATTGGGCAACCCTGTCTAACCCCACTGTTGGTTGGGAACAGTGATGATAGTTGGTTGTATGCCCTCACTCTACCTGAGGTGTTTAGGTATAGGGCTTTCAAAATGTTAACAAATTTCTCAGGTACATCTCTCTCCAACAGACAGTTCCAGAGCACAGTTCTGTCCAACGAATCGAAGGCAGCCCTAATATCAAGAATTACAACGATCGTTGGCCTGCAATGCATGTGGCGGTGTTACAACAACTGATGAAGGGTGAACACATGATCAATGCATCCAAGACCTGAACGAAACCCAGCCTGCTCTTCGCGAATCAATCCTTCACGTATTTTGCACAGTCTGCGAAGCAACTGGTAACAGACTGATACCCCTATGATTGTCACACGAATTACGTCGACCCTTTTTGAAGATGGGGACGATAATGAAAATTCTGTATATTATATAAATGCCTTCTACTATAAAGATTTTATTACTATTATAGTGTTATTTATAGTTATCTACACGTTTTAGTCTGAAAATGTTAAATATTTGCTAATAATAATATTATTATATAAAGATAATTTGACCTTATTTGTTCATTAATTACATTCTTATTTTGTGTCCATTGTTTCTTAACACTGCTCTGGTATACGCGTACAGTGTTATTTTTATCCATACTCTTCATTGTCTAGCCTTGATATATATATATATATATATATATATATATATATATATGTATCAACCTCTTTTGTGTTGTAATGAGACAGTTTCTCCGTCTATTTTCTATCACATATTTGACCAAGTTAAACTTCAAGCATCCCTCACTACGAATGGAGTGTGACCGCACCAGTGACCTTGAAACATCCACTGAGCAATTTAGTGAAACCTGACAAATAATTTTGTCCTCATCATTTAAATATGTTAGTCCATAAAATGGGATATCTGAGAAGTTTCAGCTTAGGTTTGAGAAAGGATTAAGTTACGCTTCAAGCCAAGGACAAGTTAGGGTTGACCTATTAGGTTGAACTAATAAAGGCAACATTAGGCTTGACTTGAGCTAGATTAGGGTTATTGTTTGGGGTTAGAAGACCCAAATAATTACATGCATAGAGAATGCGGTTAAATTACTCTGTTGATATAAGAATGATGGTGGTAGAGTATAATTCCATTGTGGGTAAAATTTATTTTGATAAAATCTCATGGTGTTATACAATAATATATTTACTGATGACGTTAATATATGTGTAAAACTTAGGCACTGTGGTAGTAAGTAACTCCATATTAATTTGTTTATCAGATGAAACAGTATTATTTACTGGATGACATCGTTTCGAACAAAATTTATTACTATTCATAATCATACAAACCAATTATGATCGCATGACTTCGAAACTGGAGTTTGATGGTTTTCTTTGTCTTCTCCTATTTGTCGTCGTCATTGGGGTAGTAGAATTTTCCAGATATCTGGGTGGACAGGTGTTGAATCATTCCTATTACACGTATTCCCATTCAGCTGATTCGATAAACAAAACTTCTGTCATCAATCTCTCCCTCCACCCTACTGTTACATTAGATTTTAAAACTGTTATCTTATCCCATTATCCTGTTGTGTGGTTGCGTGTAATTGCATGTAGTGAGTGCTATGACTGAACTAATCTCCAGATTTCTTGTCTTATCCCGATCAACTAATCTAGATTTTCGTAGGTTTTTGTGCTCCGTTAGTCTCACTGCCCCTGTTCTAATAGTTTGACGTATGCATTTGACCTGACAATAATTGCAGACAGGGTATTAGATAAACTAAACTGTTTTGTTTTAAAGGCTCCACAGGATTGATCCTTTAACCGACAAAGCTTGTTTCTAATTGAGTTTGTGGGTAGTTTGAATACCAGCCACTTTTATTCCTGTCTGCCTTGTTAAGAATTCTGCGTAAGGTGGTTTCCGATGTTCCTTCCTTGTGTGAAACTACTACTGATCATTTAGATTCCTTATTATTGGTATCGTCATTCTTTTTCTTCTCTTTATTATCACTATTATTACCATCGTTATTTTTGTTATCATTATTATTATTATTACTATCGCTGGTCGGGTGTGAGGACAAATACTCGCCAAAGACATTGGCCAGGGGTCGCGCTATGTCGTGAATTGGCAGAAGTTAGAATTCGTGGGCTGGCTATTGGATCGGGTCCCAGTGGCTTTATGGTACACGAGCTCGTCTTGTAACCAGGAGGTCCTAGGTTCTAACCCTGGCGGTGGGTGCGTACTGACGAAGAGTCCCGAACTAGGACGAAACAGCTGTCCAGTACTCCCAGGTTTTCCAATGGTTCTCTGACTAATGTCAGCTAATGATGAAATCCTGAAACCAATCAAATCCCTACAAACCAACACTTGAATATATTCATATATATTTATATGCATGGAACATTCTAGAACACAATCGTCATTAACAGTAATGGTGTGCTTTTTAAATGTTATCGATTTGTTAAGTAAGATCAGTGGAATTACAGTTCAAGAAAGATGCATAAGTTATAATAAGCATAAAAATGTAATAATAAATAGAATATCAAATAAAATTAAGGAAATCTCTACAACAAACTAAGGAACATTCAAACCTTGATAGTCAGTGGGGTAATGAAAGCGTCTGAATCAATTTCTTTTGGATACATATATGTCGATTCCACAGTCAGTCTCAGCAATATGTAAATAGACGAACTCTTGAGGTAAAATCAAATAAGGGACAAAAAATTCCATTCATAGTCCTATACTATTCCATCTCGTAGATACAGAACATAAAATTTATGTTTATAATAAGGCAGCTTTCAAAGTCATCTGCCGTATACCAACCAGCCTTATTTTACCTGAAGAGAGTTCATCTATGATCTGCTGCCGAGGCTATCGGAATCTACATTTAAGAAGCCTAATCTATGCAAACAAAAGAAATTGATTCAGATGCTTCTCTACACACACACACCCCCACTGGCCATCACGGTTTTAGTGATCCTTAATTTGTTGTAGAAACTGCCTTATTTTTTATTTGATATTCTATTTACTATTACATTTTTATGCTTATTATAACTTATATGTATGTTTCGTGAACTGTAGAACCAGAAGAGAAAATTATCGAAACGGATATTCTTTGCTTAATGTGAATGTTCTTTACATGCTACTATCGATACTTTCGTTTTTACGCATGGTTTATGAATTTTAGTTGAAACGTCAAAATAGTGCCTATCGTACAAGAACAAGAACTCGTCGATTTGTTATAGATGGTCAAGTAGTCACTACAACGTCTAAGCATATCATTAATACAAATTCAGAAGAAAGAAGATTTCATGAAGATGAACAGTAAGTTGAACATTTTTGTAGCTGTTACACGATTGTTACATTGGCGTTATTAAAAATTATGCATAAAGGTTTTTATTGGGTTATATAATTTGTAAGGAAATATGTGTAATCAACTCTATCGTTTGAAGTTTATTGAATGTCTTCACTTTGACTACCTGAGATTCAAGGACGAAATCTGCACAAAAGTACAGTAGTTCTATTCGCTACGCTTCATGCAGCACATAAGGCCAGAGAAAAAAAACCGGGATTCAGAGGTGCTGTGGTAAATAGAAATGTAGGGGGAGAAAAACTAGTAACATGGAGAAATGGTGTTAGGCTTTGAGGGATTTAGGAGATCACACAGAGTGAATGTATCTACTTCATTGACAAGGATTTTGACACATTATCTTCAATAGTCCCCAGCTGTTGGTTCTTAGCATGCTGACGAAAACAGTCTACACCATCCTACGTGACTGAAACCAACACTGATTAGTTTTGTCTTGATCACCATTAACTCTCTTCCTGCCTTATCCTATATCATCTAACATTGTTTGTCAGAGCAGGTGATAGATCGGCATTCAGAACACCTGTCCTAGCCATCTCAATCGATATAGCTTCACAAACTAGTCAGCTGATTTATCCACACTATCTAGCACTCTATGCGCTAAGTGAATATTATTATTATTATTGTTCCCTTGGGTTCCTAGTGGAACATAGGGCTTCAACTGCACGTCTCCACTTGCTTCTGTCTTCTACTGTACATTTCACCTGCATCCATGTTAGTCCATACTGTTTCAACTCCTCTTCACACGATCTCCTCCATGTCACCCTTGCACTGACGTGCCACTCGCCGCTTCCCTTTCGGCCTGGTTCCACTCGAGCAATGGCCTGACGCGCGCGCAATGTCAACCAGTGGTGGCCTCCTCACCGAGTGAGTGTCCAATCCATCTCCACTTTCTCCTGAATATTTGTTGGTTGGCGATTGGTTCTTGTTTTGTTTGTTCCCAGCCATAGTTTCTTGTTGGTGATTCTTTCCGGTCCGGCCATCTGATCTTCAGCATAGAGCCAGCGAAGACAGCTGTTGATGAAGGTCTGCAACATGTTGGAAATATAAGAATATTTCTGCTATAGGCTGTTGGAAATATTCTTTGTAACCCGCCAAGTTTCTGACGAACATTCCACTGCTGTGCCGGTGGAGCACTACAGTCAGTCGAAATATGTCTGAATTAGTAGTATTCTGTAGTCTATAATCACCACCATATTGATCTTCTCCATTTGAATTATAATCTTTCATTATATATATATCATTCACCTAATACTTATATTTTCTTTTTTTGTCTGCTTGCGCGTGTGTGTGTATGACTAATCCATAGAGTTAAGCGCAAAGCTGTTCTACGTGCATTCAGGATATTAGCAAAGCAAGAAGCACATCAAACACGTGAGCTAAATGAACGTGCACAACAACAAATGGATATATTAGAAAGTAAAATGAATGCAGAATATTCAGTAAGCACGTTATATTTCTTTCTTTTTTCTCTTGTTTTATTTATTTATGTATGTATCTATTTGGTTGCTCTGTTCGATGTGAAATCTTAGTAGGTGGATTATATATTTTGTAGTTATCACCATTCTTTTGGTTTTCGAGTGAACAGCCGCTCGTCTCCATTTCATCACTGTGTTCTGTCCCGTCTTATTTTGACTGATTCCATGATTGCCCGTAAACTTGTATCGCCCCGCCCCCCGGAGGCGATCTCCTCTATCGGAGGCTTGAAGTGATGCTCAACATGTCGTTGTACCTCACCGGGGTGTTCTACTGTAAGGTCTGTTTGGTGTCTGCAATCACTCAGCAATCTTCTTAGTGTATGTATGTCCAATTCACTTCCACTTTTTTGTGTATATTTATTGATTGATGGATTTTTGTTGTTGTTTTTCTCCTGCCAGAGTTCCTTGTTGCTTATAGCTTCCGATTGGTGGGTCATCTGAACTTTACTGTCGAGGCGGCGATAGCAACTCTTAATTAAAGTCTTCAGTAGTAAAAGAATATGAAACAGAAATCTTTGTGTTTAATTGGTTGATGGTGACCAGCAGTGGAATCCAGGATACGCATTTCGTCCTATTTGGGACTTGTCACTGGGATGTACCTGCATTTCTCAGTCAGTGGACAACACTTTGACGCTTGAAACTATCGGCACTGGATTCGAGCCTCGGTGGGAACACCGTCACTGACTCACTAAGGAATGCAGGTACATCCAGATGACGAGTCTCAAATAGGACGAAATGCGCATCCTGGATTCCTCTGCTAGTTACCATCCACCAGTTAACTTCTAGTTACATGACCAGACATCGTCGAAGCATCTACACAAGGAGGAGCCGACAGACATATCAACGTGAGACCGATTACTTCGGTTCAATCAATCGACGGAAAAATCACAAATTCAAATAAAAAAGACGTCTTTGTGTATTAGATATTTGATGGACATTAATTAGCAGGAATTTATGAACTTAGTTTTCATACTTCTGGGTTTTGGGTCTCTGTGAAACCTCAAAAGAAAATCTGTGTTTCCTTTGTAATTCAAATGGCTTCATTCAGGGAGGATCTCTAACTGTTTACTTTTTCCATACACCCCTGATCTCTTGAAGGTGGTGGTTTGAGTATTTCATTTCAGCTGACTTATCGTAGAAGTACCATCTCCAGTATATTTGTTATAATTCTCATCTGTCCTCATTAGGTTGTAATTTTAGGCCTGTGCTTAACTAAGGGGTGTGCTTCGGGGGTCCAGCGGTAGAATGATTGCCAACCATGCATGTGGTCTGGCGTTCGATTCCAGACTGGGATATACACCTTCATCCCCGCTTTGGAGTCGGTTTTATGCCCGAAAAAGAGGGAAGGTTGGATGTGTGAGGGTTTGCCGCCTCCCCCGTCGTAAATCACCCCACTACTACTACTACTGAAACTTCAATGCTTAAAGACGTAAGTCCTGTGTTCCTCTGGGAACTCAAGTGTATAAAATATGAAAGATAAGTGAACTCAGATAGGAAGCACGGTCTCAGTTACAGGTAGACTGAGCGGATGGTGTCAAAACCGACCAGAATCAGAAAGGCCAAATACACTTTCATCAACCCGAAACCAGTTTGCAAATCTTCTGCACTTGGTTGGCATATCAACAAGATTCGGATTTCCAACACAAATGTGAAGTCTACCAGTTTCTCAGTACGGGTCAGAGTAGAGGAGTTCCATCAGTGGGAGGAAGGCAAGGTAATAGAGATGAAGATGAAGACAAAGATGAGTGAGTAACAGAGAGGTTTCGTGTGCATTTCGGATTGTGAGGGCGTTTGTTACTTCCCGGCTGCCCACACCGTGGAAGTTGGTTGCGTGACCGCAGAGCCCAGGGGACAACTGCTTGAGGCCGGTTACACGCGGCCTGTTTTTGTTTGTTCTTTGTTGTTTTGTGTGTCTCAGTAGCATATTTATCACTCCTGCCCTGTGACACGACAGCAGGAAGCGCGGTCGTTGTTAATCCGGGCCACGGCCGATCCAGCATGATATTTTGTGAATTTGTTTGAATCATGGTATTGGATTGGGTAGCTGCTTTTTGTTTAAACGCTATCCAAACAACCTTCCTGGCATGGTAGGACCTCAAGAGACATAAGTCTCAGCCAGTATAGCTTGAATAGATCATTTCGGTGTTCAAGCCCGACCACCACGTCAAGGTAGCAGCTTTCGGTCGGGACGGGTCAGAAACTTGCACTGTCTGTCAAAACAATCATTTCCAACAAGAAACAGACTTTTATCAACAGCTTCCTCCTTCGATGACTGGCTCCTTACTGAAGATAAAATAGCCAACCGGCTAGAAAGAATTAGCAACAAGAAACTCTGACTGGGAACAAACCAACCAAGAGTCGATTGCTTAGCAAATATGTAGGAGAAAATGTAGATGGATTGGTGGTGGGTACACGTTGAAGAGGCCGTCGAATGACATCGCGCGCCAGGCTATGGTTGGAGTGGAATCCGAACGGTAAAGCGTTGAGGTGGTCGTTGGTGCGAGGGTGACATGGAGGAGATCGTGCGGGGAGGAGGATATAGGCGATTTTGGGCAGTCGCGGATCCAGCTGAAGAGGACGGCAGAAAATAGAACACAAAGTGGAGATGTATTGTCGAAGCCCTATGTTCCACTTGGAACCCAAGGGAATAATACTAATAAATGATACGTCATATTATCATATATCTTTGTTCCTTTCGATATACAAATACAATTGCATGTCTTTATAAACTCTGAGGTACACTTCAGATCATATTTAAAATAAATCGAATACCTAAACGAGTTATTATGCAGTAGATCAGAGGGTATAATTAAATTCTGCCTATAAGATATCTCTAATGCTTAATACTACTTATCTTCGATGCAGAACTTTAGGAATGTAAATATTTCAGTTTGCATTAAATGATCTTAACAGGAGTTCGAATTATTCTTCCTCTGGTGATATACTTCCCTTAAAATTGTTACTTTAAGTTGGGAATAAAGCACAATAAACAAGCAAACGTCCTCTATGTTCCTCGAAAATACGTTAAAATTGGTGCTGTGATATTTCACTTGTATACATGCTGTCTGTCCAATAAATTCCTAAAGGTATTAACTCATTAAGTTAGGTAGATTTACTTCACAGTTTGATGCTTTCACTATCTTCTAGTTGTTTGATTAGTTGTTGTGTCAGTAATTGGGGGAGCTCTTAGCGTTGTAGCTCAGTGCGCGTGCGATTAAATTTCCTTATTGTTTGTTGTTTCATAGTTTGTGTGAATCCTAAGATACTGTCTGGACGACCTCTAAACAGAAGCAGGCGATTGTCTTAAATTGTCATCCTCCAGCCAAACCTTTAACATAACATAACAATTTCGACTTTATTCCAGAAACAGTACTTGTGGTACAGTGTGGAATTTTCAGCACACATATCTACAATATTGCATCTAATTTCATCGTACATTTAAAAGGAGTATTACAAAAAAAGAAATATAAAAAAACACAACAAAATACCAAAAAAGAAACGCAGAAATAACAAAAAAAAACAAAAGAAAAAAATGCAAATAAAATTACCAAGTAGAAAGGAAGATAAACACCAATAATGAAAAAATATTTCAGTACTGGGTAGTGGAAGCTATGATATGTGTATGTGTGGTGAACAGTAACAGCTATAATCATACAAGAAATTATGAGATGTTCTTAAGAATGTTTATAGCCAAGATGATCAGTTAATTTGATTGAACAACACTAAACAATCATAAAATAAACATTTCAGGTTTTTTTTTATTGTCAGCACTAATGCGGTGTTTGTTGTGGTAGTGTGAGTAATCCTGCATAATACAAAACTTTAAGATGGTGATAGTGGCGTTCACAAACAAGATTGTCAGTTAAGTAGTGCCGAACAAAGAACAACCACAAAACTAATGTTACATGATGGTTAATGACAGGACAATTTTGTAATAATCATAGTGATAATACAGTCGGACCCAGTAGATATACAAAAGAAGGAATAGAGTAAAGTACAAAAAAGTAAGTCAATGATAATAATATTAAGTAGCTAAGTATGTTTAAGAAGGTTGTTCACTATAGAGTACAAATAAGAGAGTATAAGGGGGAAAATAACAAGGGTCAAAATTATGTTATTAACAACAAAGCAAAGTCATAGGTTTCACGCTTAACATTGTCTCTGTCACTTAGAACACGGGCCAAATATGGTACTGTTGAGTTCCTATACTTGGTTGTACGAACATATATTATTTTGTACTGATTTCTGGTTCTACCTGATGAGATGTAAGGAGAGAGTTGGGAATAGAGAGGATGTTGGGGGTCAGAGAGTATGGTTTTAGACCATTGTATTCAGATGTATTCAGATGCTTATCCACTAATGTAGTGACGAGCTGAGTGAGTTTTACACCGCTAGTCCTATTAACTACCTTCAACATCCTTCTCAGAATGGTATAGTCCTTTTTCAGTAACCCAGGAAAGACTAATGGGGAGCTGTAAAGTAGAATAGGTAGGATATGAGAGTTGACAAATTGTGAAAGCAGAGGTTGAGGGACTCCAGTTAGTCTGAGTTTCTTAATGTAGTAGGTTAGACGAAACACTTTCTTGGAAATCATTTGGATATGAGATGACCAGGTAAGGTCGGAAGATATAACTAATCCGAGGTATTTTGCATTAGACTTTGTTTCAATTATAGTCCCCTCAATTCTACAGGCATCATGAGTGCTTACTTGAAGTCGTGTCCAAGAGCAGTGTCAAGAGCTACTTTTCCATAGTTTCCAGTAACCGAAACAGGTTCTTACGCGCTATTCTATCCTTTCAGATACTGGTTGGGAATAAGGGTCTACTAGTCTCACTAGGCGGATCTGCATGTTCACTAGTCCGGTCATAAGAGCCGGATGTTGGTATTCGCCTTTTCACTTTTGTGATGAACACTATTTCCCCTTCTTCAGCTGTGTGAATTCCCATGAGAACATTTCGTGAGGGAGGCCTAAATGAACCCTCCCTTTGCCATACTAGGTCCGTTTATGGCTGCAGTAGTTGAGTGGCACTCAGTTAATTCTGTGGCATTCTTTCTGTTTTTTTTCCGAGGCTTATCAGATACCCATTGTTTTGCGAGTATTGTTCAATTCAGAATTAAATAATTCGAAGTATGATGGTAGCTAGGATCAGAATCCAGGACGTTAGTTGGGATGCACGTGTGCCCCATTAATTTTTGGGTTTTTCCGTTGAAACACGAACCGCTGGTATCCAGCATCAAAGTATAATCCACTGTGTCAACAAGACCAGCTGAGGAGTACTAAATGGGTCGAACCACAGGTCCTGAATGTTATTCATCAATTCACTCTAGATAGATCCATGGGAGGGCAAAACACCTGAATAATATCATCAAGTTCAATGTAAAGTTACGTCATAGCTGGACTAAATTCCCAGTATTCCTAAATTCTAGTCTGCCCATTAATATTTGTTAACTTTGGCATGCTGTCCTTCGTTGTATTGATAAAATTTTATCGTTATCAACAGATTTAGTCATTTTTTACGAGTTGATCACTGATTGATACCAGTTAGAGAACCACTGAAAATCAGGGAGTACTGGACAGCTGCTGTTTCATCCTAGTTTGGGAATCATCGGCAGTACGCATCCACTGGGATTCGAACCCAGGACCTTCTTGTTACAAGGCAAGCTCCTATACCATTCAGCCACTGGGACCCGATTCAATGGCTCGTGAATTCTAACTTCTACCAGTACTCTCTGGTTTTCAATGGTTCTCTAACTGATATCAATCCGTGATCAACTCGTAAAAACATAACTAACGCTTACAAACCAAACTATAGAAAATTAATCTGATGCTCGCTAGTGACTTCCTACAGGATGGAGTTTCCTAGATTTCTAGTGAGAAGTTGTGACCAGTGAGGTCCAATTATATGTCACGTGTGTGGATGGATGTCCCACCAACGACAACGGTTGGGGTCGCGCTAAACCACGAATTGGTAGAAGTTAGAATTCATGGGCTGGCCATTGAGGGATCGGGTCCCAGTGGCTGAATGGTATACGAGCCAGCATGCTTTGCAACCGGAAGGCCCTGGGTTCGAATCCCAGTGGGTGTGTACTGATGATGATTCCCAAACTAGGATGAAACAGCAGCTGTCCAGTACCCTTTGGTTTTTAATGGTTCTCTTACTGATATCAATCCGTGATCAAACTCGTAAAAAAATAACTAACCCTTACAAACCAAACTATAGAATATTTAGTCAGTGTCATTTCTGCATACACACACTCATGTAACACGCATTATTGTCTACATTACGTAAAGTGTAAACGTGATTACGTAACTTAAACCACTCCTTACGATCCTATTAGTTGTGCCCCACTGAGCTGTAATCTCTATAGATGGAGGTAGAGGGATGGGAGTGAAGGAAAATGTGTATAATTCTGTTTCTATCTTTTGTTTTGTTAAATATTTCTTTTTGATTTTTTTATGTTGTCTAAGTGTTGTCTAAGAGTGATTTGTAATCACTAGTTAAATGATTTATTGATTTTTTTTTCTAAAATAAAAAATAGCACTAAGGGTCAGCCTTAATTGTAGTCCAGTTCTATCACTACACACATATATTATATTCTATTTCATTTGGACAATATAAGTCAAGGTCAAAAGAAAATATATTACTTTATTGGTTTGGTATGTGAGTTAAGCGTAATATGCACAAGTCAGAATTTAATTGGTAGATGGTGACTAGCAGTGGAATCCAGGATGCGCATTTCGTCCTATTTGAGACTCGTTCGCTGGTTGGATGTACCTGCGTTTCCCAGTGAGTGATGATGTTCCCACCGAGGCTCGAACACAGTGTCGACAGTTTCAACCGCCAAAGCATTATCCACTAGATCGCTTGGGCCACGAGAGCTGACGAGTCCCAGATGGGACGAAATGCGCGTTATCCTGGATTCCACTGCTAGTCACCATCCACCAATTAAATTGTAATTATATGCCCAGACATCGTCGAAGCATATGCATGCACAAACAGCCGACATGTCAACCTGAGACCGAGCACTTCGGTCCAATCAATCGACGGGAAAATCTAAAATTCAATTAAATACACATGTCAGTTTGGGATTACCTATCTGTGTATGTGTATCCACGTGTGTGGGTGTGTAAATTGAAATTGGATTGATTGTACTTTGCAGTGTATTTGTATAGTGATCCCTGACTGATAGCTGACACTACTGGGGCGTTTTTCGAAATGAACATCTGTTAGCTTTCAATGAAGATTTTGTCCCTGCGACCAAAATTTATTCTGTCATGGTGTCTCAACGCAAGAAACCAATCTCTGTGTTCTACTGTGTAGGCGACAAAACTTTGTTAAGACATGCGCTATCACGAGGTGTTTCAAATTCAGGGAATAGACTATTGTTTTCCAATGTTTTAGCAGTTCTTTAAAACGATAGTAACGTCAACACTCAGATATATATACTTCAACAGTGCTGCCGTGAAGCATCTGTACAGACGATGTAGGTTTGTAAAACAAAATTAGTTGACTAAAGTTCAAATTAAAAAAAAAATTTCTTAGAGTCGAGGAGAATATTCCCAGCGAGGGAGGGGATCAAGAGGTCTGTCCACAAGAGTTATACACCAAGGCTTCCCTGGTCAGAATCACTTTCGTTACTGGAAAAAACTCCTATCGTTAAACAACACACTGTAAATGTACATACAACCATAAAGGGAAGTACTACAATTAAAGATTAGTCGAGGACAAAGATAAAATAGTAAAGGTCGAAAATCAACGTGTGAAATTCAAATGTCAAATTAATGATACACAGTCTAGGTGGGGCGGCGGGGTGGGGGACACGTATAATAATTACAAAGTAAGTTTAAATGTCGGAATAAGTATAGATATATTAGAAACAGATCCCCAAAGAGGGATTTTCCAAGCAATGTGTCCATGTGACAGATATCAGTTAGAGAGAGAGTGAGAGCTATCGTTGAGAACCAGAGGACACTAAACAGATATTTTCTTCTAGTTCGAGACTTTCCTTCAGTGTACACCCACAACTCCACCAGCGATTGGACACGAGACTTTCAAGCTACAAGTCTAAGCTTGTTGACCATTCACCAACTTGAGTGGGAATATAGTGACCCGTAAACTTTCACTTTTTCTTTCTCCTCAACTAGTACCTCCAGTGAGTATCAACTTCACCTTCACATGATGGTGTACTTACCGGTGAGAATTTCGCAGGACATCTATGCAGTAGCTATCAATGAGTTGGAAATTGTTGCTTAGATTGTGGCTTTTATAGGGATTAGGGCTAATTTGAATATCAATTGCGTCAAGAACCAAAATCATGTATAAAGATTTTCAAGTATTGGTTTTGTAGAAATTTTTGTTTGATTGGATGGAAGATTTCATCATGAGCTGACAACAGTTAGAGAACCATTGGAAAACCTGGGAATACTGGACGGCTGTTTCCGCCGTCCTAGTTTGGGACTCTTCGGCAGTGTGCAGCCACCAGAGTTCGAACCCAGACCTTCCGGTTACAAGGCGAGCTCGCAGACCATCAATCCTCTTAGACCCAATCCAATGGCCGGCCCATGAATTCCAACTTCTGCCAATTCACGACATAGAGCGACCATTTTGGCAGTGTCCTCTTCGATGAGTTACTGCCTCATCTTGAACCTGCTGCACCCTACTAGTCACTGCTTCCCACTAGAACCCCAGGTCACTGCCTGTATAGGGCCAGTTGCAAGTGAGCTTCTGATCAATTTTCAGTTATTGGTTTTGTAGAGATAGTTTGTTTGATTGGATGGAGGATTTCATCATGACATCAGTGGGAAGCCGTGAATAGTAGGGTACAATTGGTTGAAGATGAGGCATTAACTCATCGAGGAAGACATTGCGAAATAGTCGCACTATGTTGTGAATTGGCAGAAGTTAGATTTCATGGGCTAGCCGTTGCGTCGAGTCTCAGTGGCTTAAAGGTTTACGAGCTCGCCTTGTAACCGGAAGGTCTGGGTTCGAACTCTGCTGAAGAGTCCCTAACTAGGACGAAACAACTGTCCAGTACTCCTAGGTTTTCCAGTGCTTCTTTAACTGATTTTTAAAGATCATTGAAAACCAGGGGACACTCCCTGGACAGGTGAACTTTGCTGAGGAGATCCAATCTAAGAGGGAAACAGGTCATCCTGGTTTTCGGTGATCTCTCTCCCTAACTGATGTTGAATTCGATCCAAACGCTTAAAAAAATCCTTTGATCCATCCATCACTTCAGTTTCTTTTGGGTTGAATTTTACAATAGATGTTTTACAATTCGAAATTGAGTTTAGTCTGGTTGCAAACGGCATCAATTTTTATTGTTATCGTGATTATTACTTCCTCATAAATTTTCCCATCATATTTAACAACATCATGTCATTATTATTATTATTGGTTCACATGTTATGTTCCGTATTATTTTATAGGCCTTGACAAAATCATATGATCAGAAAATGGAAGTTGTTATACGCAATTGTAAACTACAAATGGAACGGTTAGATAAAGAATTCGAATTGGAAATGAAACGAATTCGAACAGAGACAGTGAGTTTAAAAGCGTCCGCTTTTTGTTTTTGTTGTTAAGTGTCGTGCGAATATATATATATATATATAATTTTTATCAATGATTTTCGTGATTGCAGTAGATTGGCAAATGAGACAGAGATCGGGCAATGAGGAAATAGGCATAAAATGGACCCACACAAAAAACTTGGAGGTTCTGGACTTCGCCGATGATATATGTCTGATTTCCCATCAACTTGAAGATATACAAGTGAAAAATAGCAACAAGTTGGCCGAAGAAGCATCCAGAGAAGATAGAACTCTAGGTGAACATAGAGAAAACAGAGGTGATGAAGATTCCTAGCCAACATCAACAGCAACAACAACAACAGACAACAATCAGAATAAATGGGAGGAACCTGAAAGAAACAACCTTTTTTACCTACCTGGGAAGCATCGTCTCAACTACAGGCGGACGGAACTGATGAGGATATCAAAGCAAGGATTGAAAAAGCAAGACAAGCAAGCTTTCATCACTCTCAAGACGGTGTGGAGGAGATCAATAACACACAGCATGAAATTGAAGGTAAGATCCGGAATTTCAACTCCTATGTGAAGTCAGTGCTACTTACTGTATGGATCAGGGACTTGGCGTGTCACAAAGAGCCCCTCAAACAAACTACAGACCTTCATTAACAGTTGTCTTCGCTCAATACTCAAGATCAGATGGCCGGCCAGAATAGAGCAGCAACAGAGATCTCTGGAACCGATTGTGCAACAAATAGGCAGGAAGAAATGGAGATGGATTGGCTGGCCATACTCTGAGGAAACCATTAAGTGACATCACTAGACAAGCCATTGCTCGAGTGGAACCCCACAGAATGGGAAGCGGCGTGATCATAGAATGTTTAGCATGCAATTTGCCCCTTGTCAAATGTCACTTCATGCTGTAGAACTGATCTGAACCGACCCCTAGTTTGCAGATAAAGAGTGAAGTGGTTGACCCGTATGAGATTTGTCAATTCTCGATAGCCCTGGTGTAGACCTGATATCCGGCTATCGATCAAAAGATTTGAGTACTACGTAAAACTTTACTCTGTTCTTCTTAAGGAGTGTGAGACGTGGTTGTCAAAATGTGTGGGAGCTACGAAGAGGTTAGGTTTAGAGTGTTATCTAAGGAAAGAGAGCCGATCAATGTGGAGCTGTGGAGCGTCTTCGACTAAAATGTCTGCGACACATAATAAGTGTGGTTAGTCATCGCCTTCCTTGTCAAACAATGTTAGTTGATATTCGATTACTTCGGAAAAGAGTTAGGGGTGGTCAAATCAAAACATGGCACCAATCCGCCAAGTCTTTGAATGGTGGATTGAGTGATCTGGAAAGGTGACGAGGACTGCTTGCTTGGGATCTTTGAGATTCTAAGAACGAAAACCTTGAGACTGTTGATGAATATGGTTCAGTATCTTTCTTCCTGGCGTAGATGCATTTAGTCTTTGTAATATTTCAGCTCCGTTAAACCTTCATACTTTTCCAAGCTACTATTGTTTCCCCTATACATTTCTGCCTATAATTGTTCTTCATCATGAACTGACATCGGTTAGAGAACTATTGAAAAGCCACCTGGGGGGACTGGACAGCTGTTTTGTCAGCCTAGTTTGGGACTCTTCATCAGTATGAACCCACTGGGTTTCAAACCTACGACCTTTCAGTTACAAGGTGAGCTTGTGGAGCATCGAGCCCCCAGGATCTGACCCAATAGTCCATGAATTCCAACTTTTACCAATTCACAACATAGTGTGACCACTAGCCAATGTCATCGACGAATATGTTTTTTGTCAGACCCAAGGTGCTTTATCCCACTGGTCACGACTTTCCACCCGAACCCATTTGATAGGGTCCCAGTGGCGTAATGGTCTACGAGCTCGCCTTATAACCGAGAGGTTGTTTATTCAAACCTCGGTGGATGAGTACCGATGAAGAGTCCCAAACTAGGACGAAGTAGCCGTCCAGTATTCCTTTGCTGATTTTTCAATGATTCTCTAACCGATTTCGGTTCATGATGAAATCCTGTTATCAATCAGACCTTGAAGTGGTGCATTTCGATGCAAAGTTCTACGTTGAAAGTAAGTCAGGCAGGTGGTCTCTAACACAAGATACTCTTAAAATAAGATCGAATAGCATTACAATGTTTGATAATGTTTCATCAATTGTTGAAGAGTAAGCATACTATTTATTCCGTTCATATTCATTTTTTGTTTTGTTTTGTTTTTATAGTCCAAAGAAGAGCGCACATTTAAAGATCGTTTAAAAAGTGAAATTGATACATATGATCGTGCAATGCGTAAAGCTGCTAAACGTGAATTAAATAAACTTGATCATGATCATGTAAAATCGAATTCACTAGCGTCGTTAAATTCAAATCATTCAACCAACTCTCTGGTTAGTAAACGTTTAACTGTATTCCGTGAAGATCAAGCCTCTCGTGTTAATAGTCGTATTTATGAATTACATAGTGAATATAATCGACGTCGAAGTGTATTGCGCAATGAAAATCTTAGTGAAACGCATACACTACGATTGAGTAAGTTTTTGATTTTTTTTGTTTGAAGTATATGTGGTATAATGACTGTCATGTATAGTCACGAGTTGAAGTTAGAAATTGGATTGTTAAGACGCTTATCTGTGGCACAGCGGTAGAATGCTCGCCAACCACTTAGGTGGTCCGGGGTCCGATCCCTAACCGACGGACTCCTTCAACTCGCTACATCAGTAATACGACTGGTAAAGAGGGAAGATTGGGTATAAAGCTAACAACCCTATCCCGTAAAAAGAAATCACCATTGCTACCGAAACTTGAAGCCTTTAGCTTGGAGCCCTATGTTCCACTGGAAACTTGAAAGAATTGAAGAAAACACTTGTGCGGATGATATTGTTGACTTAAATCAGTGAACAGTGATCTTGTTTAACTGTTACTGTTATTTTTTACTGCGATTCACTCCCGCTAAATGTAAGATGATGTTACAGGACTGGACTGGACTACACTGACTTCTAGCTTAGAAATAGGGAATGAAGTGGTAGGGCACGTTGACCACTTCACTTATTTGGGAAGTTGCATCGGCCATCGCCAACGGGTTGATCACTGACGAAATCCCAGCACGGATACAGAAGTCTAGTTTCACATATGTCAGTTTACGCCGTCTCTGGCGTAGACGTGATATCTGGCTATTGATCAAAGGGCGGGTGTGCTGCTCAGCAGTCCGCTGTGAGACGTCGCCAATGAGAGTGGAAGATACGAAAAGGCTAGCCATTTTTGATCATAGGTGTCTGTGTTCTATCTCCCGTGTTAGGTGGTGGTATAATAGGGTGAGCAATATTGATATTAGGCTTCGGTTGAGTGCTAGGTAAGGAGGGGGAAATCAGTCAATGAGGTTGTGAGGCAGCTGCATCGATTGAGATTGTTAGGACATGTGATACGCATGCCTAGTCATCACCTTCCTCGACCGACGAGCAATGCTAGCTGAATGATGTAGGGTCAAGCTGGAAAAGACGAGTCAGTGGTGATCCAACCAAAACACGGTTTCATCATTCAATGAAATCCACAACAGTTGGTTTAAGCCAGCTGCCACGTAGGGAGGTGTAGACTTCTTGACTGGTTGCAGTCGTCTGGATGGTTAAAACCAATGGGAGCTAAAGAGAATTGGTAATATGGTTCAAAATGATTGCTGTCAATGGCTGGTGCAGATGCATCCACTCCTTGTGACTTATAATTTCCAATGAAACTATGTTGTCCTTTGAAATTACTATTCTTTTTTGCTTCATATCCCTGTCTACTTTCTCTATTCAGCATTTCTGTTTACTTTCTTCTTCTTCTTCTTCTCTTGTTTTGTGTGCTGAGTGAGATGTGGTGACTCGAACTGGTGCACATCTGTGCAAAGTTCTATAGTGAAACCATTCAGTCAGTTGTTTTTTATATTATTCATCCGGGTTTCTATTGAGGAACTACTGCTTGTTGGAAGGTGTAGACTTCCTGACTGGTTGGGGTCCTCGGGACGGTAAAAATCTATGGTTGGAAACAATTGGTGACATGGCTCAAAGTCGTTCTCAATGGCTAACGCAGATGCATCCACTCTTTGTGACTTATGATCTCCAATGAAACTGTTTTGTTTTTCTTTATTACTCCTTTGTCTCACACCTCTGCTCACTGTTCCTATTATGCTTTTTTTGTACTTTCTTCTCTTGCTTCGCGTGCTACACGGAGTGTGGCGACTTGAACTTCCGCACATTTGTGCAAAGTTCTATGTGGAAAACAGACAGACAGACAGACAGACTGCTTGTTATCTGATGTGACTACAGTGTCTCCTCAGTGTATGTGTAATCCATCACTATTTCTTTCTACACACTCTCTTTTTTCGGGTGAAAGATGCATAATTGGTTCATCGTCTGTCAAGGTTCCTTGTTGCTTATTCTTTTTTTTAATTCATGAATAATCCTCATTCAGACATTAATGAAAACAAATTACCGTAGTGGTGTGAAGAATCTTTTTGTATAGCGAATTCATTCACCTCTTTAGCTGTACAATTGCAGTCACACAGAATTATTTTTGTATGTGTGTGTGTGTGTACATTAGGTTTGTTAGACAAGAATAAAAATTAGTTGGGTTTATTGGTTACGTAATCGAGATACTTTTATAAAAATGTGATGAATGATCAAATTGTAACTAGAGGAGGAGGGGGGGGGGTGAAGATTAGTAAAAGGACAGTGGTGATGAGTTGTCAAAAAAGCATAGTTGTTAATGTTAGTCAATGTGTAAGAGAAGTTGATTAAGTGTATTATAGTTACGTAATAAGATGAATTATTTAATTGGATGAGTTTTGTTTAGGATGCAAATAGAAACGAAGGAAAATTTGGAATTATACAAGAGTTGTAAAGAAATAAAAGAGTTGTAAGGAGTTAGAAAAGCAGACACACAAACATCAAGTCAGTAGACATCAGTTAGGTTTTTGCCATGATAGCAGAAGTGGTTGAATGACTTTCACTTGTATGTATAACTCTTGTTTTTCTAACTGAATGGCTAAGGCTTCAGTAATACAAAGGAGACAAAAGCGTTTTGCCCTCGGTAGGCTATTAGTGACTATAGATTACTTTGAATGAGGCGTTTGTTTGAGATGAAATAGTTAGTGTTGACAAGGTGTTCGATAAACACACTCCTTCTAGAGCTATGTGGGATAGTGTTCTCGAATCCTTATGAACAGGATTCGCGTCTAAGGAATGGTGTTGCTTGTCTCCATCGCAATAGGTGAACTGATATATCCATACAGAAGTGGTCAGATGTGAGTTCTTGTCCGTAAGACTTCTTAATACCAATAGACGACTAGAGAACACTACTCTTAACGTTGCTGCGAAGAATATTTGCCTCAAATATACTGGGATTCTTCTTTTGAGGATATCGCAGGCTAAAGTCTCCCTTGAAATCCAGTTTCATGTACAATTTCTTTTTTGAAATACGCAGTGTTTCATTCCACTGGATTTTTGGTCTGATATTCTTGTTAATGGAATCTTGGTGGCTATCCATTTTGAATGAAGGTTTCTTTCAGAAGATCCAATTCTGCTTCCAGGGTGTCAGGACTTCTGATGCGTCACACCCGAGTGGCATGGATTTAATTCGATTTCATTTTCGTTTAATGGGCACCCAACTGTAGAAACTTATTAGTTGACCGTTCACAAGTAGGTTTTCTATGGTCTGACCTTCTTAAGGTTCTTTCGGGTAGTTTCGTTAATCCCACATCAAAGAAGGAGATTCTGGACTCGTTTTCCATTTATCGAGTGCATTTTACTGCTGGCTGACAGTTAATAAGAACTTGTAGGCAATGATTAGGGTAATAGGCATTGCCGCAAATGATGAAAATATTATCTATGTACCGTTTATACAGTTGTCGACCATCAATGGACGACTTCTCAAGGCTAGCCATAAAACAGTCTGCTAGTAATGGACCCAGCGGAGATCCCATTGCAATACTATCCTTTTTTCTGTAGGTGGGGTCATTGAAAGTAGATTTTACATTGTGAGTGTATCTTACCGGCAGTTCTTTCAAATATGTTGTTGATATTCCAATGTTGAACTGGTTGTCATGTATATGTTTACGTAGGAAACAGTTTCTGTAAGTGGGATATTGGCGAAAAGTGATTCAATGCCGAAAGACATCATTCTTATCTTGTATATAGTCGGTGAGTTGGAAGGTGTCACGAAGTATGTACATAGATGCTCCAGAATATCAGCCAAATATCTTGCAACAGCGTGATAGGGCGAACCTGACATATCTATAATTGGACGGAGTGGGTGACCAACTTTGTGTATTTTTGGTAAAGCTAGGTGGTAAAGCCTAGGTGTTACTGAAATGTTGGTTGGATTTGATCATAGAGATTGCAGCTAATCCTTTTTGACCGTCTGGTTGTCTGATTTACAGTATTTAGCAAAGGCAGTCATTGGTAAAAATTTGCAGTAGCCAATTGGGAGGGCTTTTAGTGACGCACTCGCCGATTCTTTGAACCACATGAAAGCACTGACCTGACGATGCGGATGTGAAGCTAGGTGGATTTCCAGAATAATGAATATTTGTCTTACTTTTCCAATTCTGTCGAGGACATCCACATTGGTGTGAGGTTTGTAGTTGAAGCGATGCTGTGTAGGTCAGGAAAGTGAAGACGATCACTTTGCTTAGATTTCTTTCTTTGATTTTCACTGCCTCTTATGCCAACTTGTTGCATTTTGTTAGTAAATGTTCGATTATGTAAAATATGGGACATAAATTATCTGCGAGGTCTACATCTTCCAGTGTCTTTCTTTGGTCAGTTTAGTGTAACGTAAACGCGTTAACCCAATCTCTACAGAAATTCCAAAGCCTTTGCTTAGTAATCAAAACAATTCATTCTTGATGACTATTATTATTATTGTTCCTTTGGGTTCCGAGTGGAACATGCGGCTTCAACAGAACATCTCCACTTTTTCCTATTTCCTGGTCTCACAATCGCCCATAGCCTCTCCTCTCCTCCTCTCATGATCTTATCCATGAACCCTCGGGCGCCCACTAGTCGTTTCCTATTCACGTTCTACTCGAGCTATACCTTAGTGCGTTATGTCATTTGAATATCCCCTCAGTATGCGCCCAACCCATCTCTATTTTCTTCTAAATATTTGTAGAGTAATAGGTTCTTGTTTGGCTGTTTCCCAGAATTTCTTGTTGCTAATTCTTTCTGGCCGATTGGCCATTTGATCTTCAATATGGATCCAGTGCATCGTTAGCTTAGAGGTAGAATTCTCGCCAGCCACTCAGGTGGTATGAGGTTCAATCCTCGACTGACGCACCCATAAACCTCACTCAGTTGGCAATAAACCCATCAAAGAGGAGGAAGGTTGAGCATAAAATAAGACCGCTGCTAACCAAAACTTCAGAGCTCTAGCTTGTAGCCCTATGTTCCACTGGGAACTCAAAGATAAGCAAATGGAGCCAGTGAAGACAGCTGTTCATAAAGTATTATTACCTATGCGAACTGTTATTAGCCACCACAAAGTTATTCGTGAGTTTATTTGTCGTATTTTGTAAATTATGTGAATTACAGGTGTTATTCATTTTCCTCTTCTACTTTCTTTTATTATTTTTTTTCTAACTTACCTTACTACGAAATTGTTGCGTCATTATAATCAACTAAACCTAAAGACTTTGAAGAAGACAAATGGAAAATGGAACAGCGTTATTTATGCATGAAACATCAGTTGGATAGAAATCGTCTATTGGATTTATTTATGATTAAACGAGAACAATTAACTGGTCGATCAGAACTTGAATTAACTGAATTAAAACAGGTAAGTTACACGAATGGTGGTGTTTCTTTTTTCTTTTTTTTCTTTATTCCTTTGCATCGTCTAACTGGAATCTTAAGCTTCAGGCTTGAATCTACTCCTACTACTCATTCGGCCTGACTCCTCACTCACTGACTGTCGTCTCACTCAATCACTTACACTCTCACTGACTCACTCACACTCATTAACTGCCAATCTGTCTCTCACTCTTTCTCGGTGACTGACACACCACTGACCTACTGACTCCCCGACTGAATCAACGTCACACTGACTGACTCGACGACTGTCTGAATCACTGACTGACTGTTTGTGTCTCTCCTCTGTGTGAACTCGTGCATATGTGCATTGCTGTGCATATGTTAGCTGATGTAGTGTGTTGATAGCCAGTGTGTTGGAGAAGATTTTCGTGAAGATGGGTAGAATGGATGAAATCGTGTGGGGATAGGTATAAAGAGATGGTTAATGGATGGGAAATGTGGGTAAAATTGAATTGAATTTTCAGTAGCTTGTGGTGTTGTGTTTTCGTTCGAGGTGGGGTCGCTAGCCTTCTATCTATCCTGGGCTTACCCACCTACCTACCGGTCAAGTGAAATGTAGGATGTGATAAATTATAGATTAGTTTCTGATTTGTTTTTTTTGCCTTCTCTGGCTGTGAGTCATATGAAAAAGAGAAGACGTTAAGCGAAGACACTCTTTTAGACAGCGAATTCATTCACATAGCTGTACAATCGCATCTATGTATGATTATTTGTGTGTGTATGTGTGTACATGAGGTTTGTCAAGTATAGATAGTTGATCAGGTAATAAAAGAATGATCTAATATAGAAACAAGGTTAATCAGACAGCAACTAAAGTGAGATTGAGTTAGTAAGTTAGATGACGTAATATAATAGACTAAAATGTGTCAACTTAGGTCAGGATAGCAACAGAGGTAATTATCATAGGTAGAGACTAAGTAGAAGTGGGGTAGAGAATAATTCTATTTAAATTATAACTGAAATTGAGCAAATAAATTGGATGACGTAACATAAATGACTAGAAATCGAGCGTTGGTCAAGTCAGTAACAATGGTAATGAAGGATAGAAATTAAATCGGGTGGGGGTAGAGAACACGAAAGTTGAAAATGTAAAATATTACAATTGTAAAGACAAAATAATACTAATGAAGAGACAGAAAAAAAGAGATTAGGTAGGATTTACTTGTCGCGTAATAAGATAGATTAAGTCCATTGCAAGTGTAGTGATTGAACGAACTTCTGTATGCAGAGTTCAGGACTTAGCACGTGAATCGCCAGTTTGAAGAAGTCTGATTCGTACACCTTTAGGAAGACTACTTCTTACTCTGTAGACGAATTTGAAGTTTGTTTGGGGTGTAACTTGGTGTCCGGAATCTATCAGGTATTCTAAGATAGAGCTGCGGGGGCATCGTTTTTCTCCTTTGTAAAACCATGTTGGCAAGTGTTCGGTGATACGCTTGGAAAGCGAACGCTGGGTACGGCCGATATACCTGGCTCCACACGAACAGGTAAATTGGTATATACACATTGATGAGGCCAGCAGTGGTAGCTTATCCTTCACGTCCACACGAATGATGGCTTTCGTGGAAAAGGTTAGTCGTAGTTCAGCTGCTAAGTAGGTCTTCTTAAGTGAGCGTGACAGTCGACTTTTCAGTGTTGTCGCAGATATATCTCCATTGAATTGAAGGTTCATGTAGAGTAGTTTTTTCGGGACGCTAAGTACAACCGGCTTTTGTGGTCTAGGATTCACAGATTTTGCAATAAATCGTTCTGGATAACAATTCTCGTCGAGGATTCTTTTGAGACTGTCCAGTTCATCTTCCATAGTGCCCAGGGTGCAAATTCTGCGAGCTCTGTAGCTGAGTAAACGGATCAGTTTACGTTTGGTGTACGGAGGTACCCAGCTGTGAAAGATAGTAAGCTGTCCGTTCCCCATCGACTTTCTGTAGACAGATCTTTTCAGTGTTCCATCCTGTTCTTGTCTTGTTAGCTGGACATCAAGAAATGATATTTTGGAGTTGGACTCTTTCTCCAGCGTGTGAATGAATTCGCCGAAAAGAGTCTCTTTGCTGAACGTCTTCTCTTTTTCATGTGGAAATTTTGTCTTAAGAATGATTACCAAATGTAGTATGCAATGGTAGCAAAACGTATGAATTTAAATATTAAGATAAATAATGAATTGCGTAACTTAAAAGCAATAGAGGTGATGAGTATCCTTCAGAAATGGTTACCATTAAGAAAAATTAAAAATGACAATTGCTTGGAAATTAACACACTGCTATCAGGTGATTGGGGCAATCAGTAGGAAACTTTGCTTGCCCTGTGATGAGAGCAGAGTGCTAGCCAGTCGGTAGACATTAATTTACGTCAATGTCTAAGTCACTAATATTGTCCGTGAGAAAATATGAACAAGGCTGATTCAACAACCAATCACAGCAGACTTAACGTGGGCAAATAAGATTCGCAGATGTTATGGCTTAACTTTCTGAGAAACCAGAAACAAGCAATCAGAAGACTGTGTTTGTCTGCTTGAATAAGCTATAATAATGTACATGAAATATATATAAATACGTGTTGATTTCCGTAATAAAACGATCTGTTGCCTGGCCCTTGTCTTCTGTTGTTACAGCCCTAACTTGACTGGATAGACCTCACCGGTTACGACTTCTCAGTAGAATTCCAGGAAACTCTGTCCTGTGGCAAGTCACTAGTGAGCATCAGATTAATTTTCTATAGTTGGTTTGTAAGGACTAGTTTTGTTTTTAGGTTATCGGTTCGAACCCCAGTGGGTGCCGACTTCCGATGATTCCCAAACTAGGACGGAGGAAGCAGCTGTCCAGTACACTCTGGTTGGTTTTCAGTGCTTTTTTTTTAACTGATATCAATCCATGATCAACTCGTAAAAAAACAAAACTAATTCTTACAAACCAATTGTAGAAATGAATACTCCTTTATTTCATTCAGTTTGAACGTTCCCGTGGATTGATTAGACTGGGATTGCTCGGCCTCAGGTTGACATGTCGACTGCTTGTGCGCATGCTAAGACAATCAATGTCTGATACGGTCTCACCTTAAACCCCTCCAAATGCCAAACAGTTAATTTCACCTTTAGGCACAAATCTGACCTAAACAAACTGGTTAGCACTCACGAGGTGTGCAACATAGATGGCACTGAAATAGAAACCAAGTCAGAAATTAAATACCTGGGCGTCATTGTATCTGCTGATCATTCCTGGTCGTCTCATATCTTGATGATTTCTAAGAAAATATTCCATCTAACCTTCTACATCAGGAAGTTAAGACATTCTAGTATAACCCAACCCTTACTGTTACGATTCGTTAACTCTTGCATTCTGCCTGTTATTCTCTATTGCTCCCCTTTAGTTTTTCCCGGGCTACTGAGAAAAGACTATATCTTATTACGCAGGATGTTAAAGGTTGTCAGCAGGGTAAGCAACGTGCCACTTAACCAGCTTGTTAATATTCTGGTTGATAGGCACTTGGACTCATGTGAAAAATGGTCAAAATCCATTTTATCTAACTCACAACACCCTCTTCATTCACAACTCTCCCCTTGTATCTCATCAGGCGAAACCAGAATCCTATATAGAAAACTATATGCTCGCACTAGTAAGTACAAAAACTCAACCATACCCTACTTAGCTCGTGTTCTGTGCGATAAAGAAAGCATTAGGCGTGAAACCTTTAACTTATTAAATAGTCAGTAGAACAACTGAATCTCGTCTTTCCAACTCATATCATTTGTAGGTGCAACGTTTTTCTTTCTTTCTTTTCCTTTTCTCTCTCTCTCTCTTTCTGTTATGTGCAGCTTTGTTTCTTTCTTCTGCTTACGCCAGTAAATATGCTAGCATCTACTTTTCTAACACCTTCAAACACTGTTCAATTTTGGCTTTGGCGATATGCTAATAAGTTGTTGTTATAATGAACTGAGATTTCTTTAATCTATGTAGAATTTCCTTTATTGATAATGTACTAACTGGATGCAATACTTTAGTAAAATGCTGAGAATTCCATTCTGTATCGCAAGTACTGTTTTGGAATAAAGGTATTATTATTATTATTACTTGAGCACACAAATATCAATCTTTCGAAAGTTTCCAATCATATATCAAATACGTATTGTTTAGGTATTTTCTCACGGCGATTTTCTTGCTTTCTTGTCTCTGTTTTCGCATCTCATCTCATTTCATTTCTCCTCACTTAATTTCACTAGATTTCAAGAAATCATAGTCAGCCGATATCATATGACCCATACACATGCGCCTACACTTTATTATTATTAATTATTGTGAGAAATTGCAAATCACCAATACATCAAAAAAAAGCGGTTCAACATGGCGTCGTTGTATGTCTTTTGTGCGTAGGATGCTAAAACATAAAATATTTTCTCAAAAAAGTAGTTGGTGCATGCTTTGAATTGCCTTCATATATATATATTCTCTATATATAACGGTTATTTGATAGTTTGTGCGCTTATACACAAAGATATCGATTGTAGCTTCAACCGGTTAAGCCAATAACCGGTCAACAAACTATTTTTTGAATGAATAACAGGTCTAATTAGTTTCTTATCTATGCAAGTGATTACTTCTTGTGTTCGCTGTTGTTGTGTACAACACCGCTGAAATCCGACTCGAGTGCATTGTAGCTCTTTCTTTCAGTCAACCGTGCTTCTTAGATTCCATCAACAACTGTATACATCGCTAATTAGAGAGATATAGGAGTAATGCAGAAACTATCGAAATCTCTACAAAAACTCACTTTAGATTATTAATTGATCATTATTGAAAACTTAGGGAGTACTGAAACATCTGTTTCGTCCTAGTATGGCATTGTTCAACAGTGTTCACCTATAACTCACTCTTCACATGGGATCGAACCTAGGATATACGCGTTGAGAATATTGGGACGTGAAATCCAACAGCCCATGAATTATAACGTCCATCCATTTTTATTGGGGAGTAT